GAAAGTCTAGAGATCTAGATGCATTGGGGTCCAGAGAGGTGGTGATGAAGTGAAGGTGGGTGTGAGTAAGTGTGGATGAGAGGGAGTGTGAGTGTGAGTGAGAGTGGGAGAGTGAGTGAGTGTGAGTGTGAGAGTGAGTGTGAGAGTGGGAGAGGCTTTCAAGAGCTGCGGCGCCTTCAATGGCTTCTTGAAAGAGCATGAATCTTTTCTCCTTGACGATCACCACCATGTCCAAAGTGCTGCACTTGCCACGAAAACTGCATCTCGAAGTAAAACAGCTCCGACCCTTTGCACCTGTCACGAAAAGTCGACTTTGGAGCACCAAAACACGAGGTTTCCCTTGCGCCAGCCACGAAAAGTGACCACCATGTACTAAAATGCGCACGGCACCACAACGAGAGCGCAGTCGTTAGCCGCAGACACCCAGATTCTGACCCAGATTCTGCGAGCCTGCGCAGTCGAAGTGCACATGGACGATGTCGAGAGGCATGAATGTACTGTAAATAGCAATGAATTAGCCGTTCACGCCGGCGCGCTTCAGCGATCTAAGCATCAGCTGCCTTTCCCCTACCGTAAGAACCCCTCAGTGTGCCCACACTGTTTGGGGAAAAAACAAAATGGAATCCCAAAGCCACTTGGTTGTAGAGGGAACTGGTCTTGCACTCTTGCACGAGTTTTCCTTCTCAGCTTCTCTTGGCCACTAGAAAGAGCTTCCTAAACTGACCCAACTGAGGGTCTATCATTCCCAAACTGACCCAACATGACCCAACACATCTCCACCTTAAAGCCTTGCCAAGCTGCACGCCCTTCAAGATATGATTGTAGGTTTCTCCCAAGGTCAAGTGTCGCACACTGTGAGGGATCTTCCAGCTTCTCATGCTCATATTGAACCTCATTGTGCCACATGTGTGTCAGAAATAGGGAAGGTAGGGCTTCGCAGCATCAGCAGGAAAGTTCCGGAATGTGCCATGGCTTTATCGTCTCAATCACACACACACAATCTCACTCTCTCACAATTCAGTTCCATATCCAATCCCTTCTTTACTCCATCCGTATGTCGTGGTGACCAACTAAAAGCTCACACACGCTTTTCCTCACCATGGCACATCCTTCCGAAGACCAAGGTCTTCAAATTCTCGCCCAAATTCACGCCTGACGGCGAGATCGTGCAGCCAATGCGGCGATCATGAACAGCCAACTTTCGATCATGCAAAGGTCAAAAGTCCCATTTGTGCATCTCATGTGCCTTTGTTTCGCCAAAGCCCACGTCTCCCCACAAATTTCTTAAAGTGCCAAAATGTAGCTTCAGGACCTTCAGTTTGTGGCCAATGTTCCATGATCTCAATTCGTCTGTCGCTGCTTAAACAAGAAGGTAAGGTAAGGTCACGCGTCACGCGTCTACTCCAAGGTCCTGAGTCTGAGTTGGTGGCCTTGGATTTGCTGGAACCTGGAAAAACTTTTATGAAAAAAAAGAACATGCCAGACAGCAGAAGGGAATTTACACTCCGAAGAGAGTACCCTGATTTACCTTTTTTGGGGATGGCCCTCAAGGCCCCGAGTGGGTCCCGGTGTGACGAATGGGTTCCGCTTGGACCCCGGCGACGAACAGGTAGGCGAGCCTGTTGGCGGTCAACCGGCGACCAGGTGGGCCAGGAGATAACCCGGGACCTTCGAATTCGGATTGACACAAAACCATCAAGATGAGATTCGATCATTTAGAAGGTGTGGCACGAATTCATTTACAGTGCTGTAATTACTGTATATATATATATATTTGATTGGTCTTCTTGTCTGTACCCTGGTTTGGTCGTTTTGTATCGCCGCTTCCCCCGCTTCGTTTCGCAAGCGAAAACGGCACGGCCGAAGCGAGCGGACCGAGCGAGCGGACAGGAAGACGGGCAGGAAGACGAAGGTCTTGTCCCCCCAAAAGGACCGCCATCTGGGACTGGAAGACTGGAGGACTGGTCTGACCGGCATCGTGACTGGTTTGATGTTGGATTCTTTGGAAGGAAATTCTCTGATGATTCTGATCTGTGGCGAAGTCACCTGTGCGGCGTGAACTCACCTGTGCTTGTCCAAAGCCCAAAGGAGGAACGTCAAGTTCCGCAGGAACTGAACCTTGTCCAAACAAAACACTCGCAACTTGAGGGTATATAGGACAAAACCCTACACTCGCAGTCCGTACTTGCCGTGCACTTGTTGCAAGACTGGCTGGCTTACGAAAAAAGCCCAAGATCTAAGATCCATGACCACCCGCCGCAAGGTCCGCGCCTTTCATGCTCTGATTGAAGTTATGTCCGAAGATCAGCTCCTCCAAACTGCTGGGTATCTGCACGTTCTTCAAGCTGCGATTGAAGTGGGCCCCGAACTGCAATTTCCTGGCCGCGACCCATGCGGCGACCCATGCGGTGTTGAAGCATGAGAAGGACTAATTAATTATACTATGGTGCGTATCATCTTTCATGGACTTTGGACACTTGGACACCGCAGGGTGAGCAGTATAGTAAGGAATCCGAATGATCCCGAATCCGGACATCGGTTTGGGGTGGCTTTCCATTTACCGAATTCTTGGGACAAAAAGAGACTTCGGGGCACGCGGCCGCTTCCCAAACAGGCCGCTTCCCAGCCAGGTTTAGGCGCCTGGCATTTGTGGGGAAACATCTTCACCTGGTTTGGTCACTGCGAACCGTTCGCCCCTTCACAGGCTCCCAGGGCTTACTGGACCATGGCCATTGAGTACCAGGGCCCCACAAACCATCAAACACCTGGTTTTCCCTAGCAAAAAACATGGTTTGTATATGAGAAGACCTTTGTTTTTTCATGGTTTTGAGGGCCATTGAGTACCCTCTTGAGATTGCAAAAGTTTTGGGTTGAGTACTGGTCGAGCCAAGACTTAACCTCCACCGGCCGTGACGCACCCGACTCCCGCAGTGAAACACTGGAAGTCCAATAAGTGAACCAAACTGTCCACCAGTGGGGAAACCCTTTAATTAATCAGGAAGAGGCTTTGCAGGTGATCCACTTTTCATGACGTAATATTAGGCCTGAACTTATATAAACCTTTTTACACAAAGAGTCAACAAACAAAAACAACTCTCCATCCCCCTCATCAGTCTCATCCTTCGCACCTCAAGGTGCACGGCAAAACGATCTCATCGAGCTTCGTGTCGAAGTCGTCGCCGAAGACCAAGCTTGGCCGATGCGTCGCGAGCTTCGGGCGCCGAAACGCCCCAGGCCCATCTACCAGAGGCCTTGGGATTTTTTCCTCCATTTCCGTTCGACCAGGCTGGGCGAAGGTGGGACATCTTTCGAAAGACCTGGGTGCTGGGACCAGGAGTTGGGGATATGCGAAGGTATGACTCCCGAGCCGTTGAACTGGAAAGTAGAGGTTCGCCGAACTATCCACCTATAGGGTCATGTTAAGTTTATCCACTCACGTCCCAAGGCCAGAATGACCTGCCATCTTGAGACCACACATGGAGACAACACGCCAGCTATATACCTGTTTTTTTGGAGGAATTTGTGTGGCAAGCCAAGTCATCAATGAGAGGTGCTCAAAACCATCGCCCGGATGGTCCGGATGCAAATCTCTGAGAACACGCAACTCTTCGGTGGCTGTTTTCACCCTGGCAGCGCAACGTTCCTCCCCATCTTTCGTCTGTATTACCGCGTCCGTATTGTCTGCTGGGCGTCGTGTGGATCCGGGTGTGCGCGAGGTCCAATTGTAGGGCCATGTCGGGCTGGTAGAAGTTCCACCTGCGCGAACCCCGCAACCCCGCTCGCACTCAGATGTCGCGCCCTTCCAGCAAGGCCGAGCCGGGCGAAGCCGAAGCCTTCGACTCGAGGCCAAGCATGGGGGTTCCAACATCCGGATCATCCGGGATGTTATTCTTGGATTTGTTGTCCAAGAACCATGAAAACTTAGGTACATAAAAGTCATCCCAAGAAGGGAATAAGGGATTCACGACATAAGCGAAAAAGAACGATCACCCTTGCTCATGGGACGATATTTGGACTCCATTGGACCCTCAGTTCGCTCGGGTGAAAACACCCTCCCTACGATAGGGTTTGGCCTGAAACTGCTCAGGACCAAGTCGTTCCAGGTCGAGGTGCTTCCGACTGGAGGACGTCGGGGTGCCCCGAACGTCACATCACATCCACTCCACTTCTTAATCGTGACCATCCACACCACCCCAGCAGCTTCATGTGACTCCGACTTGGCCCAAAACCGTCCACTCTCCGTGTGGCGACCGGCGACCGGTGGGAAGTGGAAGATCTCGGCTCCTATGGCGAGGCAGCGGCGCCTATGAATGTTGAGCTGCAAGATCTCAAGGCTCCGAGGCAGCGGCACATCGGCACCTCGACTCCCCACAGAACAACGACGAGGGCCTCATCGCCAGACTCACCGGGGCAGACTCGGGTTGCAGACCTTTGTGGCAGAATGTCGAGGGCGTTTAGCCCTCCTTTTCACCAAGGGCAAAACTCCTATAGAAGAACACATGCCCGGTGTGTTCTTATGTGTGCGCGCAATTGCCAGTTGAGTTTGTCGATGTGTATCCCTCAAGTACGTCAGTGTTTGGGTCCACCGACCCTCCCAAAGACCTCACATGGACCCAAATCGTCCCTGGATGGTCCTGGAACACCCTGGTGTTCCGATGAAGGCTGCACCTGTGGCTTTTGCTCCATGCGAGTGGGGGTACATTGGTACATGTGGCAGTGGGTGATCTTGACCCTGGCAGACTCAAAGCCTCTCCATACATCTTCATACCACCCCCAGACATGGCATGGTAAAACATCTTCATACATGTTGTGGTGGGTCCTTGGCACCCGGATCCGGTTGACCTACCTGGTGCCAGTGTTTGTCGACACGGTGGACTGGTTGGGCTGCTCAGCCATCCATCCGATGGAGAACAATTCTGGTCTTCAGGGACGGGGAACGGCATCTGCTTGCCTGGAAGCGCCTGGAAGCACACACCCCATAGACTCTGAGAAGCAAACAGTGTAGTTCTGCAAATCCCCCACCCCAATGTCGTTCGGTGGCCCCAGTCGTCCTAAAACCGGACCCAAAGACCCAAAGATCATGTAGACTCTTGATTAATACACCCCCCAATTGAATTGACAATCCTCTTCCAAAGGGGGGTTTATTTTGCTTTAGGGATATCAAGAGTCTACTATTAGGTCAAACCGTCCTATGAAAAACGAGAGGTGGTCCATTTGGGTCCGCAAACTGGGTTCTATAGGTCTACCAACCGGTTTCTGGACTCTGCCGCAAACTGGAGCCTCTTTCAAAGGTGCCATGGCAACGATTGCCAGGCCACTCTTCAAGCACATCTCCCGTGGACCTTCAGCCTCATCAGGTGCTTGCCCCGGCGGCATCTGGCACCGGCGAGAGGTGGCTTCAGAGTGTGGCTGAGAGTGAGGGAAAAACCAGGACTGGTTGGGTGAACATGGTGCCATGACACCCATAACTGCGATGGAATTCTCGGTGTGCATGAGTGAGATGAGATAGATTTGGCAGAGATGGAGATGACTTTCGGTGCCGTGAGCAGGACTTGGACTGACTTGAGACCCGAGGAGGGCTTGGACTTGGGAAGCTGGAAGAGTATTTGGGGCTACTACCTCAAAGCGCACTGAGATGAGGAAGGGGATCGGGACATGACCAAAGTTGAATGATCCTCCCCACTCCCCACCACACTGGCAGCTGGTCTATCATAGCAATAGTGGTTGATGGCTTTCCAAAGTCTATCCACAATTCCATTACTGTAAGGTTTAGTGCAACCTAGTAATGTTGACGCCTGATTAGTAAAGGGGGGTCCCCCCCCCTCAAACAAACAGGGGTACCTCTATAATAAACTATCACCAAAACAAATCTGGATTCCTGGTGAGGGATCTTTTGTAATTGATTGTAGTATTCATTATCCTTTTGCTTTGCAGCCTCAGATCTTCAGCTCAAGAGAAGCCCCAAGCTCTCAGCTTCTTCCTCAGCTTTCATGGCTTCCTTCTCAGATGAAGTACTGGTGAAGGATCTTTTTGGTTCTGAGACCTCTTCTGTTGCTTGGTTGTGCTTAATCAAGTGATGTGTTTGGTTTGCTCAATCCCCTTGTTAGGCTAGGCTCCAGCTGTCAGCTGAGAAGCTCAAAGAAGAGGCTGAGAGCAAGGCTCTCACTCCCTTGCAAAAGGGCGAGCTTTTGCATGAGGCCTCAGAAAGGTTGCAGAGGAAAAGCAAGCTTCTGGAGAAGCCTGGCTACAAGAAGTCTCAAGTCAGAAGGCTCATTGGCTGGCTGGGTGCCAAGTATGTCTCAGCTGAATTAGTGACCAACATTTCTGAGACTGAGAGCAAGACCAGGTGCCTCCTGACTTGGCAGGAGTTTGACAAGACCTTGTGGTTGGCCACCTGTGCCACAGCTGAGACCTTGAAGGCCTCAGACAGAGTGGCATCTCCTGAGGACTTTGTCTCAGCGCGTCCTCACCTTGTCATAGGCTTCTCAGATCAGATTCCTCTGTGGGCCAAGGCCACTGGCAGGAAAGCTATCTTTGCTGAGGAAGAGCTCCAGAAGCCTGAGCACATCAAAGACTTCTCAGAAGTGAGGAAAGCCATTTTGGATATTATGCACTCAGATGACCCTGCTGAGATGGTGGTGCAACCACTGGAAAAGAAGCAGAGCTTTGAGTCAGCCACACCACCAACAAAAAGGCAGCTCAGCTTTCCTTCCTCAAACCCAAGTCCACCCAGCAGTATTGTGAGGAAGCTCAGCTTTGGGGAGTCAGCAGGGTCTTCTGAGCAAGTGGTGCCTGCCACACCTGAGGAACAGCCAGAACCTGACAACAGCAGTCAGCGTGCAGTGGCACCTGCAATCCCTGACAAGGAGGTGAGCTCAGCCCAGCAAGGAGCCCAGAAACCTGCCACACCTGAGGAACAGCCAGAACCTGACAGCAGCAGTCAGCATGCAGTGGCACCTGCAATCCCTGACAAGGAGGTGAGCTCAGCCCAGCAAGGAGCCCAGAAACCAACACCTCTCCCTCAGGCCTCAGCCACCACCATCATTGGGGTGTCAGGTGATGAGCGCTTTCGCATCACCTATGAAGCAAGGCAATTGCTTCATTCAGTGCATTCTCAGGATGAGATTGTTGGATCAGTGGGCAAGGGCCTGCTGGTTGTGCCTGGCCAGTGGGCCAGGCTCAGCAACATCTCAGAGGGTGGCACTTGGCTGAAGACTGAGAGCTTCCAGGTTGGAGACAAGACTGTTGTCAGGAAGCAAGGAACCTCAGTTGGAAGGATCCTGGAGCCCTACAGGAAACTGAGGAAGAGCCACCCTGAGTTGATGTCCAAGCTTGAGGTGATGTCTCAGCCTGCCAGCAATGTGGACTCAGTGATCCTCACTTGGTCTATCCAAGCTCAGGCTGAGCAGTACCCATGCTCAATGTGGATGAGAGACTGCTTCAGCTCAGTGTTCACTGACTCAGCTGCTGAAGCCATGGCTTTGGCCAACCAGCTAAGCTGCCTTGTAGCTGAGAAATGCACTTCCAAGCGCCAGATCACTGACACAGACTTTTGCAAGCAGTTCAAGGCACTGGTCAGGAGCAAGCTGACTGAGATGAGATCTGAGTGGCAGACTCAGATCAGAGATTCCCACTCAGTTTGGAAGTTTGGCCCAAAGGAGATTGTCACAGCAGTGGTTCATGCCCAGGAATTCCTCAGTGACAAGAATCTCAGAGACCAGTGGGTCCTAAGGGCTGCTGTCAGGAATGGGTTGTTGGTTTACAGGCCAAACCCTCAGACAGGAAAGCTGGAGGAGCTGCTGTCTCAGAAATGGGCCCAGGAGTTGAAGCTTGAGATGGGCACTAAGAGGTACAAGCCTGAGTACCTCAGTGACAGACTCAAATGGCTCAACAGTGAAGGTGTGCCCGTAGATGCTGACTGGAATTTGAGCGAGGTGGCTAAGAGCATCACAGACCTTCAGGTATGGGACTATTGTCACCCTGAAGATGAAGATGAGACAGGAGAGCTTCAGATCACAGATGCCCTCAATGAGGATTTGGAGCTGGAGCTCCAAAACTCCTTGTCATTGAGGCTGAGTCCTGCATTGAGGCGAGCTGGCCTCAGGAGATTGGGCACCAAGCAGTACAAAGAAGCAAAGCTCTCAGAAAAGAAGAACCCCAAGCACAGGGCAGGTAGGGGAAAGCTCACAGGAGCAAGTTGGTAAAGGCTTTGGCTCTGAAGGTTCAGTCCCAGTCCAGAAGAGAAGCCTTAGCAGAGATCAAGCCTGAAGCTCAGCAGAAGAAGAAGAAGGCTCAGAAACCTTCCCTGGTCTTGAAGGCAGCACTGAAGATGAAAGCAAGTGCCAAGACTAAGCCAAGCCTGCACTCCAAGCCCTCAGCTGTTGCAAAGGCAGAGAAGAAGATGGCTCTCAAGGCCAAAGCTGACAAGGAGCTGCGTGCAGCTGAGAAGATTTCTGCTGAGGAGGCACCACCCCTGCCACCCCCAGCAGAAGGCCCTCCAGCCAGTGAGGAAGATAGCCTTCTTCACACTGATGTTGTGGTGATCTCAGAGGCAGCTGGCAAGACCAGTTTTGGCAAGGTTGGCAGCCTCATGTCCTTCTCTTCTTCCTCAGGAGCCTACACCTTGCTGAGTGACACTGGTGCATACCAGGTGATGCCTGAGTGGCTGGAACCCAAGGACAGCAAGCCTGCTGTCAAGCCAGTCAAGTGGCCCAAGTGGAGCCAGCTCAGCAAAAAGGACACCAAGCTCATCTTGACTCAGCTCAGCAGCAACCCTGAGGATCAGAGCTCCCTGCAGTTTGATGAATGGTCCTACCACACAGTCCTCCCATGCCCTCAGGATGTTGCTGAGGTTGAAGACCAGCACCTGTGGTTGGGCTGGGTTCTGCTGAGGTGGATGCTGAGCAAGAGCAACTTGCCAAGCTGTGAGGAGTTGGGGATCAACTGTGTTGATCCCATCCTCAGCAAGCTGTTGAATGATCAGGATGACCCCTATCAGCTAGCAGCCTTAGAGGCTGGTGTTCAGAGCTGCTGGCTTGAGTCCACCAAGGTTCTCTTAGTTCCCATCTATGCATCCTTCCACTGGACCCTGCTGGTGGCTAAACGCGAAGGCCCTCAGCACCCCATAGCATGGACAAGGTATGACAGCCTCAGCCAAGAACATGCTGAGTCCCACCCTGTCCAGCTGAGAATGGGGAAGCTGCTGGATCCTCAGTTTGAGCTGCCACCTCTCAAGAATGTGGCCAAGCAGCCCATTGGCTCCAATGCCTGTGGCTGCTATGTGCTCCACTACATGGAGGGTGAGCTCAGAACCTTGAGGGGTGAATGGCTGTCAGTTTGGCCTGAGGCAGGTTGGAAAGCATGGAAGGAAAGGCTCAACAAAGCTTGTGGCAAGCTAGCCTCAGAGGCTGAGGCTTTGACTGAGGCAGTAAAGCAAGAGCAAAACAAGCTCTCCAAGCAGCAAGCTCAGGTGAAAGAGACCCTGGACAAGGCTCAGAGCAAGCTCAAGACCCTCAAGAATGTCACCTCTGCAGCCTACTTGGCTGCTCAGGAGCTGGTGGATAAGAACTCAGTCACCTTCACATGGAAGAATTTGTCTGAGTCTGCTACTAAGTCTGTCTTAGCCTTAGAAGCTGCACTGGGCAGGTGTGCTAAGTGCAGGTGGCAGTCTGGTTGCTTGGCCTGTGACCCCTACAAGTGCCTCAGACACCACCTGCACAAGGAAGCAGCTCAGGCCAAGAAGCAGGCCTTCCTCAGCCAAGGACTAGGGTTGTAATTAGTTAGTTAACATCTTGTTTGTGGTCTGTTTGTTTGTGTTTTGCTTTGCTGCTGGCTGCTTGCCTGGGAAGGGAGGGGGGAGTGCAGGTGGACAGGGTTCAGAAGGAATTCAATCCCTGATTTATTGGGTTTCCACTATAAAAATTTAGGGCCCAAATTTTTTTTAGCATTATAGAGGTACCATTTTTCAAACAGGGGGGTCTGAATAATTTTGGAAAAATTTAGCATTATAGAGGAGCCCTTTACTAATCGTGATCCAACATTATAACCACAGCAAGCTACAAAGGTAACTATGCAACCCCGCAAGATTGGCCATATAGGCCACAATGTTGAACTTTGTTCCCCTGCAGTGCACGTGCGCACGCGCGAAGCTTGGAGGCTTTCTGGGCCTCCCTTGTTCGCCATCTGAAAACAGGGGCTGCTTCAAAAGCAACAACATGTAAACAAGCCGCCAAAACATAGAGTGGTGATGACATGCGATGAATCATTTACAGACTTCAAGGAAGCACCACCAAATGTCAATCTCCGGTTTTTGCACTCCATGTTTGGGCACGTACCATGTCCACCCAGTCCGCAGGTCCACCTTTGTCTTTTTCGGTCCACCTTAGACATCCTTACAGTTACACATTTCCACTGTGGAAGTGTCCAGCTTGGGACTCGCCACAGCCTGGACCCCAACTAGTGGATATGTTGTTTATTTCCCTTCGACACAACCAGTTCAATTAAGCCTTCCGTTCCAAACTACAAACCCTTTGAATGGAAACCATGTCTTTGGGTTTTTTGCTTCTTGCCTGCGGCTGGATGTGGTGAATCATCTGGAAAAGCTGCGCCGCCTCTCTCCGGGGTTCCTTGGCTGGAGACAGGAGGCAGCAGGAAACATACAAAGAATCTTCAGCAATGTTGACTATTGATAAAAATACTAAACCCACCCCTTTTATCCCCTTTTGAATTGAACAACCTCTGCATATATGGGAGGGGTCTATCAAGAGTATTATGGGGATTCACTCATACCTTTTTGGAATCCGGGCCCACAACACATACATATATATACGTCATATACTTTGGGAACCAGGTCCGGACCCCTGCAAAATGGAGGGCCCAGACTCGGAGTCTTAGGCTATGGTGAAAATCAAAATCACCTTAAGCACAACCAGGGTTCCCGCTCCTTCATCAAGCTCTGCCAGGCTCCCCACAGATTCACCTGCGAATGAAGGCAGGGCACACGTGCGGGGACGGGACCCGAGGCTCCTGGGGAGCGGGTTTGGGTTCCTGATGCGCTTCTATATTTGTCTCCGGTGCAGCGAACATGAAGAGATAACAGAGGGTCTTGGTGTTTTTTCATGGGGCGTCTTCTGGAGCGATCTATCTTCGCAACTCTGGGCCTATCTACTTCATGGTGAGTTCCACGCAGAAAGAAAAAGGCTTGAGTTCATTCGGATGTTTGTGTTCCCTGTCCGAGGGTGTGTTTTTTTGCCGGGGATGCTGACGTTGGGATTTTAAGCGCAAAAGCTACAGGCTTCCCACCCAAACGCTCCGAATCCTCTAAAACACCTTGGGACCCGAGAGTTTCTCGGTCGGTCCGAGAGAAACGATGCAGGTGATGCAATCACCCAGTCTTTTAACGACCTGTTGCTTCACTGGTAACGCAAGACTGGCACTGGTTGACACACATGGCATCTCGCCAGTCCCTTGGGATCCGACTCATATGGGATCCGACTCCGGCGCGACACTGGGATCCGACTTCGACCGCCCGTCTTGGTCACCCACCCGGTCACATGGGGGCGACCGGCACGTCCGGTGACGGGATGAGGGATGAGGGTCGGGGTTTAGAGACCGGTGAACCTGGTTCTTCCCCTCGATTGAGATCATGAAAGGGCCTTTTCAAAGGTCAAGGATCCCCCCCAAAGGTTTGGTCACTTCGAAGAAGGTAGTGAACAAACTTTTGAACTCGATCAGCTCATTGCACCGTACTGCTTGACTTCCGAATCAGCTACTTACCTGCTGGGATACCTGGGATCTCCAGCACCTAAATACCCAATGAACTCTGTTAGATAGTTCAACAACCATAAAAACCGTGGGTTCCATGGCCCTCAGATGGTGCAATCATGTTCCCCCCTCCCGCACCCAGATTTCGTGGTCGTAACACCGGGCTTCTCACCTTGTGGAAGACATAGCTGACCACAGCACCATCTGCCAAATGCCGGTGCAACGGCTCAGAGAGCAGAAGCTCCTGAAAACTCCAACAACGGACTCTAGACTTCACTCTGTTTGGGTTGGTGCACTATTTGTTCAGCCCTGAATGTTACTTATTTTGCAACGTGTTCTGTTCCACTTCTATCGTCGCACAGCTTCGCACACAGCTTCGCACACTGCGACCAGCTTGTAGAAAGAGGTGAGCGGTGAGCGGGGACTCTGAGATGGTGCAAGTATTGATTCATGACTCGTTGACCTGAGAGGTGTGAAAGGTGCGAACCTGCTGTGAGGTTCGATGACGAGTGCCAGGCTCCATGGTGCCAGGCCTGTGCCTACCGTGTGAGGTGGAACAGATTCCACCAAGACGGCAACAGATCGTCCGAAAGAACAAATCGTCCACCGTGGCGCCATTGAAACGTTGTTTTTTTTTCTGTTCGGAGATTGGCCTGGAAAGGCGGGTCTTCACCGAATTTTACCATAACGATTACATTGTGACATGCTACCGAATCAGCAGTGACACGAGTGCGCCAGTTTGAAACAAAATACATCCAGCCAGCCTGCAACATCTGGGCGAAAAACGACGGTCGCCCGACGCGTCTAAGACCGGTGAAACGACCCGGTGGTCACTATTTAGGATGATCATGGGAGACATGAAGGCTACTGAAAAACAAGAAAACATCAATGTGAGATCTGTTGAGATCTTCTGAATCCTTCTTACATCATTACATCATGTGTACCTCATTTTGATATATATATATATATATATTGATCAACACTCGATGGGACTGGCAACAAGATCTGTTTTACACCATTTTACAGCAACATTTGATTCCGACACCCACCATTCAAATGGGTCATGACGTCATCATGTCTGCCCAGTCCCATCGGTTTCTGGCTTTTTCCGGAGGGCACTGAGTCGTCGTCCTGGGCTCCGCAGTAGAGTTTCAGCTGCCCGGAGCGCCGACCCACACGCTGCTGGACCAGCTCCAGAAGCTCCAGACCTGTGGCGCCGCTTCCGGCGTGACCTGGTGTCTGGGAAGTGTGGTATGTAAACAAATCAACATGCAAACCTGCAGCTGGAAGGTCAAGCAAATGTGGAGATAAAGACACCTGACATGTGTCAATAACTCGCGAAAGACACCATGATTCACCCGACCAGTACACCAGTTAGGTCAACGGTATCGGTATCCTGGTGACAGTTCCCCACAGAATCCTGGCATTTCACATGAGCTGGGCCACATCTGTGTCACCGCCCAGAATCCTGGCAGTCTCATGCAACGTCTGGTGTGGAGCGTCTCAGGGTTCTCTTGTTGCAGGATGTGCCCACGACATTGCTAAGCCTTGACATTATTCTTTTCAGGACACTCCTCAAATGTTTCTTTCGATGTCCACTAGGATGGGTGAAAACGACGGATCAATCGAAAGCTGCATTGTTTGATCTGCGAAGCTTCTCAGGTCGAAAATGCTTTCAGCCAGGAAGCTTGGCACGCACAGAGCGATGCTACACAGCAGTCGCTTGATCGACGTCGTTGCAAAGCAGGAGTGCTGAAAGAATACTGGCGGAAGGTCTACTTTGTTCTGTTCATTTCTATATAGAATCTTAGAGTAAAGTATGGTAAAGTAACAAGTCACCGTTTGGTGCGAAATATGTTCAGTAGAAGGCCAGGAACAACAACACAGATCTTCAGCGATTGGTCAGACGGAGCGAATCCTTCAAGCCCTAAACCCTAAACCACGTTAAAGTCCTCTTCATGACTAAGAAAAGAAAAGGTGCTTGTCATCCACGGTTGACCGCTGTGTCATCTCAAGAATTCCCAACCGAACGAAGGCGGACGAAGGCGAAAACTGGGCGAACGCTGGCTCTCGAATCGATCCGGGGCGATCTGCTGCGATCCTGGTGCTACCTGGGCTAAGCAGCCAGACTCTCAGGTAGCTGGAGACTTAGAACTAGAACTTAGGACCTGCTCCTGTGTGGAGCTCTTCAAAGATACGGCCTTTTTAAGAAACCCACATGGAACCTGAAAACTATACTATACGGGTTTCTGTATAGTCAGCTAGAGGAAGCTATAGTCTTCCAAAATCTTCCAAGTGTTCATTTCAGCTTCCATGTTCATCTTCTTTATCTTGCCAGGTGTATCCATTTGGGTCGATCCTCGTCATCCCTTGCCACCCCTCATTGCCCCTGGCTTCCAGCCTAAGGCTTCTCGATCCACGCGCAGCTCAAAGTCAGAGCCATCCAACCTGGGCGTTTCAATTCACACAGAGAACTGGGAAAAGACACATACCAGCAGTTCCAAAGGGTCTTTTAGTCCCATCCAGGGGCCGTGGATGTGACAGGGGCAACCTTACCCTCCAAGAGGCACCCCTTTGCAACTGCTGGTACAAACATATTCTTCTCCAGTGAGTTTCGGGGACTCCAAACAAACAGATTCTCCGACTCACTAAAGTGAATGGTGGAATTATGGCTGCTTGGATGAGCATGTTCCTTTATATGAACAGAGTGGCTGCCCTCACTTCCACTGCACGTGAGTCCTAGGGAAAAGATGTGAAAATGATGAACATGAACCATCACACGAAAACCGCAAGAGCAGGACACACATGTGGAATCTGATCCTCCCAATCTCTTTTGGGGCTATGGGGTCACCCATAAGTCAACCCAGTGATTCCTTTTTTTTCTTGTTTCGCAAATACTGAGTTCCGCAAAAACTCTCGATACTTACACACATGCACAAAGGAAATCAGGTAGCCCAGTACTTCAAATAAAACCAACAAACAATAACAACACTGTAAGTGTTCAGCCGCTTCCGAAACCTGAGTCACCTGGCAGGATGGGCCCCTACACTAGCTAGGTCTCCAAACAGGACATCCAGCTAGGACGTGCTAGGTTTGTGTTGACTTGCTTTCGATGTTCTACCCTTGTTCAGCGCCACCAGCACTCCGGACATCTCTTTTCAGCTGGGGAGATCACATCACCGTCGTGACCTGTTCTGGGACCTGTCATACCTGCATACAATTCGGGTGGTTGGAGTTGAAGTCAATGTAGCAATGTTGCATATATATATATATTTCATAGATTCATCCAAGTGACCCGACGACCGAGAGCTGCAGCTTTGGCACCTCCTCTGGACTCCGCGTGCGCTTGTTCGCCATTCGCGGTGCTTCCGGTGCGTGGATCTGGTGTGATGCTTCGGTTTTAGGCACCTGGCCAGGTGGTTCCTTCTCAAACATGTGTCACCCTGCTTGGTTTTTACTGCAGGTGAAGGTTGCTTTAGAAGGAAACACACCTTCATGTGAATAGGTAGTTGAATCAGAAGAGAAACTTTTGAAATTTGTTGTTCAAATACACACCCTTTCTTGCCCTTTGAGAGGGTTAATTTCAGTTCTGCCGCACTCTGCGTCAGTCAGTGTGTCCTCGAGCACTGTGGTCCGTCGCGTCGTGACCCCTACAGACTCTACTGGACGTCTTGAAGAGGCTCTGTTTGTGTGTGTGTGTTTGTTTTACAAGGCTAATCAAGTGACTTCTTCCATGAGATCTCAAGTTCGGCCACCTGAGATCTCAAGACGCTCCGTGAAAACCGCCTGACCGGTCCCGAACCAAACCGGGATTTGTTCGGCCCCAGGCCAATCCGGATTCGGGCCCGACCCCTCCATAGAATGGATCGCGTCTGGGTTGATTTGTTTTTTTTCAAAAACCGCGTGTTGCAGCTTCGTTCAACTTGCAGGACGGAATGAGTCAGACCTCGACACTTGCAGAGTTGGAGGTGCTGGCATGCACGATTGCTCTACGTACTTGGGGTCACTATCTGCTCTGCTCTACAGCAGCAGTTTGTTGACATTCCATCTACGTGGGTGAGTGGGGCGTGGGGGTTCTAGCAGTTTGCTGTTGGCTCTCTATCTATTTGGGGATGATTACTGCTCTGCTCAGTAGTTTGTTGATATGTCTCATACTTGCCCAACAAGTGGTGAACACAAGCTTTCTTGGGCATTGGACCTTCCCAAAGGAAGCATCCAGCGGAAAACATGTGATACATTCTCCACGTGAGCCTCCCACATGGCCTACATTGATACATGAAAACCGCCCCAAACCCATCATGCAGTTATGTATAGGCCGTAGGACTGCAGTCCTCGCGAGCGTTTGGGAAGGGCAAAAAAGCACCGAGCGGGAGGATCGACTGAACAACGGCGGATCACGTTCCTCGGCAGCACGACGGTTGATCCCCCGGAGCGGGAGAGGGAAGACGGAAAAGGAATCACCGACACTTTCCACCTGTTCGCTTTGAGCGGCGTGTCACCACTCCCCCCGAAATTGGGGTAGAGGTTATCAAGTCATTGAGTAGACATACCAGGTCTTGACTATATAGCTGCACGTTCTTGGTATTTGCCCCTACCCTGAAAGGTTTTGCAGGGTTATCCACTGACTAGGCTGGAAACACCCCAAACTGCAAAAGGACAGGCACATACACCCTTTTCCAGGCTTCTTTCACGGTCATTGAAAAATGGTAGTCCGGTGCACCAGCTCTTGTGGTGCGGACCTTGCCGACCAAAAGCGTGTCACGTCGCCCGAACACTGCAGTCTGAGGTTGTCTAAGACTTCCAAACCGATCTTCATGGGAGATCCAGGACAGGACATAGAGCACAAAGTCGTTAGACATCTTAAAAGCCTTTGAGTGTGTAAAGGCCAAGACACCCTTAGTGGTCAGAACCTGTCAGAGTGAGCTTCCAAGCAGTTTCAATGGCCAACCTATCCTCAAATGGGGCTTGGCTGAAGTGATTTGCGCACAGGACCCCACAGACTTGTTCGTGAGCGCTTCATGCACGCGTCGGCACTAAGCACAGCGCGATCTTTCCCGCTGAAACCTTTGGAAGACCCGATGTCCTCCGCAATGTCCATCTTCCTTCGACGCGACGTCCATTCTGACGACACGTCGTGTGCTGGACACGAATTGAAGAAGCTAAGCCTTCGTTTGCTTGGCTGTTACGTATGAGTTGCTGGTGGTCTTTCGATGCTAGATGAATCATACCCCAAACACTCCATACCCTAAGGATCCGCACCCTCAAAAACAATGGTTTTGAGGGTACAAACCCTTATTATAGAATATTATAGAGGGTTCGATCCCTTCTAAGGAGGGTCCACGGATCCTTAGGGTATATTATATATATAATATATATACGCTGACCGCTGAAACCACCCCAATGTATGCAAAGCCCCCGACAGGTCGTGTCGTCGGGTCCTGGCTGCGCTGCGCAGGTTGGACGGTGCAGTGCGATCGAACTTCGCCCCAAGATGGGAAGCTTAAGAACACTGAACCATCCCTAGGGCTCCAAATACCTCCTGAGAAGGTGGTTAGGGTGGATTTTTTGGGTCTAACCACCTTCTGAGGATATGGTTGGAGCCCTAGGCATGTAGGCAGCAAGTCGTGTCGACATGCAAGTCCCTTCAGTTTTTGAATCAAGGCTTACTACCCTGCCAAACACCGCTGGGTCGTGTGTGCGTACTGTAGAAGGACTTGCCTGAAACGCCAAACACTTTACCTCCCATCTGTCCAGTTCGTCAACCCACCGTATCGCAGCAATGTCCTTTTGGGAACAATAGAGGGGTCGATTTGGTACCAAGTACCTATTAGTTGTTCACTTCGGGGTGTCCCCGCTGTTAATCAACCAACCAATGGTAGAAGGCCATATATGCAAGATCGTTTGATCTGCACCTGCGACACTGAAGCTGGGCGCGCCGAACGCAAGTTGCGTTCCTGGTGTTCAGTGGGAAGGTTTCCACTGGAGGCTGCGTTCTTGTTCCACGCAGGCTGAACGGTACTTGAATTGTTCTTCGATCATCCCATGAATTCAGTAAATGTTGGCAACAAAAAGTAATAGCACCACTCTCGTCCATCAAGGAACACAAAACACACACAACATGCGTGTTGCTAGTCCTTTTGCTAGTCCTTTTACTAATATGCTTCTTGGAGATGCTTAAAAAGCACATGGAATGATCCAGCTGCAAACGTGCCGTGCATGAGTCAGGTGTTCAAGGGTAGCTATAAACAGGCCACCGGTCACAGTCTCAGAGCAGGGTCTCGGAACAGTTGCTTCGTTGGGGTGCTTGTTAAAGGTGATAAAGGCTGCGAAAGTGAGAAAGAAACGCCTGCACAAAGTGATTGCAACTGCAAGTGTTTTCCACCGGGGGTGAAATGCTTTCTGCACGTCGTTTTTCACCACAGCTTCCGTGACTGACTGAAGCTGTTGCTTCTTTGACCCCAGGACGGACTGGAAAGAGGTCTGGTTCGTCCCCTACAGGTCAGGAACGGACCGAACATGAACTACGGGTGGACAGGTCAGGACGCAGCAAACACCACGTCCGAAGTGGGAGACCTGGGACCGGACCTGGGTCAGACGCCATCAGTCGAGGTCGGAGGTCGGACGCGGACGAGGTCGGACGCGGACGATGTTGGGATTAAAACCAGTTCAACACGTATGAGACGCAGATCCTGCAAGGCCACCGCATTTTCCAGACTTTCTACAAGACCAGATGACCCAGTATGGTTTATTGGTATCTCAACAGGGCCAGTGGATTGAACCCCCCCCCAGATTCCAGAAGCCAAAGTTTATGACCCATCAAAGGAAAAGCACATCATCAATTTATGACCCATCCATGTAGGTAACTATACCACATGAATTGTCAAAGGTTTGACTGTGACCTTGGAAGACTTACACCTGGAAAGGGAGGGTCTTAAAAAGAAGAACAATAATGGAGCATAATACAGTGTACATGCATCCATTGAAAGATAGGACTGAAGTTACAGTAGTCATTGTCATTTATTTGAATGGATGTGTGCTCTACTTTATGATGACCAAAACAGATCTCACTGTTCCATGGTTCTTGTTCTGGCGTCAAAACAGGAATGAGTGGCGGCTTGGAACCAAAATTGAATGCCTGTGCTATTGGAAAGAAGGCTTACACAAACCCTCAGAAAAACAAACAGTGGGACAGTGGCCTAAAAAGGGATGGCTACCCCTTGAAATCCTCTTGGTCCGCAAATATGCTTTTCATTGCTTTCATTGCTTTTCCAATACCTGCTTCCTGTGGCTTTCTACCCTTGAGCCTCAAGCACTACCAAGGACTTCTTTGCGTAACGTGCAACCCATCACCGTGCAGTGCACGAAAGGGGGGGCGAGGATGCAACGAATTGGCATGCGAACTCAGGGATAAAAGTTTCATCTCGCCAGCAAAAACCCACGAGGACTAGATCTGGAAGGCTTGCAGGGCTTGTGCTGGAATGGTTTTTCGCCCCCGTGAGTGACCACGGGGTCGACCTCTCTGGTGAACTAACTGGCCTGGCATCACCCGTCACGTGCTCGCGTGTTTGTGGCGGTTTGAAGACCCGAGCTTCTCTTCTATTCCATGATGTAGCTCAGTAAAAAATGCCGCTTCAGTATTCCATGATGAGTGGAATCCATTCCGCTGGCCAACTGTGTTGACTCGTTCTTCGAACCACGGTGTTTTCCGTGTTGCGAGGAACCGCATAAGTAAGTGACTCCCTCCGTTGGACAATACCGTGTTCATCTTATATATCACTTCTCCCCACGGCCACTTGGTAGGATCAATTGGATAAACACCCATCAACCGGAGCATCTCCAGGAACCACCGACGGTTTTCAACGAAGACGGACCGGCCACGGCCACGCTTTTTCGTGATGACACATCAGATCCTGGACCATGTCGACACCATGTCATTGACGGCACCGTTTTCAGCGGTTTCCCCCGGTTTGATCCACCGCGGAAAGATGGACATTCCTCAGGAATGAACATGGATGAACTTCGGTCACCAAAGCATCACATGAAGTCCGAGATAGTCAACTTTTAGAAAGCAAACCCCTCATATGTCCTCATACTCCATAGGCCGTCTATCATAGAAAACACCTGTCCATCTGTCCGTCCATCTAGAGGGTTTAGGGTTTAGATGGGTTTAGGCCTAGACACCTCAGATTTCTGCGCGAGATCTTCGGCCAGGTCTGGCCACGCTGAACTTCTTCCCACTTTGCTCAGTCAGGGCAATGCTTTTTGCCCCTTTGAGTCCATGGCCGGTCAAAAATCCCACCGCTTGAAAACCAACTTTGGCTGGGTGGTAAGACCCTTCCCCGAAACATGAGTCAACTGAGGTTGAAAAGTCAGTCAAAGCACCAATCAGCTGCTCCCATAATTCTTCGACGTCTTGGTGGGAGCCCGGCGACCTTCGCGCGGACCACGCTTTCGCAGTCTGCACGAAACCCAGCCTTTGAATGCCACTGAAATTCATAAATCATGAAAGCAGGCCCGGTCAGAGAGGCCGACTGGACCTTCACCCATGTGGAAGATGGCGTAACGGCAAATAGCCTTATCAAGAGCACTTTCCTTGATGCCATCAGTCGCCTGAAAAGCTGAACACATGTCAAAGTTCTTCATAGAGGCTGGGGGGAAGGCTCTTCATGACCCCAATCCCAGGCAAACTATGATGCCCGGTTCCGCACTGGTTAGTCTGGTCGTGACTTCCTTGTGGGAACGATCCACTGGGTGTCAATGTTCTCCATCAAAATGTGTTCTTCCTTGTGCCCAGGACAACGGTGTGAAAAAGATAACACCCTGCAGCACTGATTTGCGGGCTCTGAAGTGAGAGCAACGATGGGAAAACAGCTTGTGAGGATGTTACAGGGTTTGCAAGTCAATATCACTGATGGAGCAAAACATGGCACCGCCTCGAAACGTTCAAGATCCAGGAAAGTATTCTTGCGCCAGGCATCCTTCAGGTGTGACATCCAACCTAAACTAAAACACAACTAAACCAACTCATGCAGTGGTGACGCTGCATGCTGACACCTTGAAGAGCTGCACACTGTACACATCCTCAGTGTGCATCAAAAGCTACGCCAATGGAAACACTCTGCTGCATGCTCACGGACTAGCAACACCCCTTTTAAGCAAACAATCACTACAGCAAGTCGCCAGTCAGCGGCTCTGCAGAAAGAAAGAGACTGACTGGGAGGGGCCGGTATGGTCTAGTGGCTATGACGCATCCTTCCTGCATCGGATCCTTCCCGCATCGGACCCGGGGTGCAAGTTGTAGCCGGGCCACCCCACCCTATATACATAGGAAGTGCTTGTTTGGGGACACATCCATTGTTTCTGGTTGGGACTGGATTTCCAGGTCCCCTCCATCTTGGGACCATTTTCCTTGGATTTGTCCAGGTACCGGAAAAGGTTTAATGACATATGGAAATAAACATCACACCAAGCACAACCAGGCCTGGTCGACTGAGAAAACCATTGCCCCAAAGCGGAAGAGTTCTTTATGTGATCGGCAGGTGGGACTTCTTTCAAGTCGTCATCCCTTAAATGGCCGCACAACTGGTTCCACGCATGGCCCAATGCTGTGAGGTGCTTGGAGTCTTGCGGTTTTCTTGGGCCTTGTCATTCCCAAACAAATTACTAAATATAAACAGCTACTTTATTACATGTATCCTTCCAAGACAGGTTGAGCTGGTTTTGTAGTTCAGAATCCTTAAAGCCATTAAATCAATGATGGTCGGAAGCCTCAGGTGTGAGGTGTGTGATATTCTATACCAGTTCCAAGTTCGGGCGCCGATTGGAAGATATATCATCGCCCCAAACGGTGCCGGCCATCATATCTTCAAGAAACGGTCCATCCAAAGGGTCCTTGCTCGCACCCATCCTCCCCTCCCCACTGCCATCTCGGTGCTCTCGGAGAGATGCTCTGGGGGTGTCACACATCGGAGCCGTCCGAATCGAGGCTTGATCCGTCCTGCAGCGTGCAGGACTGGTGGCGGATGTGGCGGACGGTGGATACGGAGGGTGCCAGGCCGAAGAGGACCGAATGCTAGGAATGCTAGGAACAAGAAGCTGGTAGGTTGGAGGCCATCGCTATACTATAGATTGGTGGTTCGGTTGATCTTGCTCCCATTTGACCCAATCGCCTCCAACGACCAGTCAGAAAACCAACCCCCATGTGATGCAGGCTTCCCATGCAAGAGACATGGGTCGTGAGAATTGGCCTGCCGAATTCATCTTTCGGGAGCGGGGCGTGATCAAACGGGATTAATTAGTTATGTAACATTCACCACATGAAATGACCCAGTCCAGTCGCCTCTAACAACTCTATTCAGTCCCGGTCGCCTGGTCTAAAAATGCAAATCTTGAGACCAGAAAAAGGGATGATACTGGGATGAAACTTCTTATGTCTTGGATAGGAACATAAGAATAAGCTTTTTGGATTCCCCTGGATGCAATGTGTGATGGTTTGTGACATCTACATCCAAGATGTTGGACACTTGTGGGCTATAGTAAGGATCTGCCCTTACAACAAAATCCTTGCTTCACGGACTCTGGTTTTGGCTTCCTATCTGGCTTTCATATCCGGCATTCCTCTGACAAACTCCTCTCTCTCGGGTCTGGCTTTGCTTGCGTTTAGGAACCTTTGGCTATAGGTGAAGGGGCCTGGTTCTTGCAGGTCTCACTTTGGACCTGAACCTTGGTATGCTCGAACTGTCTATGCATCAAAACCCCTTCTCAGCTGTGGACCCCGGTGAATAAGGGCAACGGTGAAGTGGTCACCTTTTTCAACGATTTTTAACGGGTAGCAAGCTCAAGAGGCAGGCCCCTGTGCAAAAAGAACGACAACTGTTGTGAAGCCTGTTCGGATGATGTGGCTTTCATATGCTTTCATGGTTTCCACTCACATGATTCGCTTTGGGAAAGCCCATCCATGATAGCCGGCACCGCTTGCCCGCCTCATCGCGCAAATTGGACCACATCGTTCCTCAGTTGACGCGTCCAAAAATCTGGCGAAAACGGGTCGTCTTCAGACCTTCGCCGTCGCCATTCTTTGCCACAAACAAAATAGGGTTCCATCATCTTCCCAGTGACCCTTTGAGACCCCCAGTGGCGAGTCGGTCACTGTCTTTAAAAGGTCGCGGAAGGGCCCGTATACCGTATACCCACCCTGAAGTTCGGTCACTGGGAAGGGCCTGGTTTTGGAGGATTGCGGAGATGCTAAACAACTGGGGTGATCAGAGTTGTGACAAAACAGAATCTGGGACCGCTGGGTACGCCACGGAGCGCCGATAGACTGGATTCCCCACATGTACAGAATTATAGAGCAGCAAGCAGCTCAGCCGCAAGTCACGGCATAGTAGGGAAAAACTTGAGTTCCCAATGGAAACGCTTCAAACATCTAAAAAAAAACGCAACAACTTCAACATTTGATTGTATGTTGTGATACAGTATGTATAATTAGGATTATATAATTAGGATGAATGTCATTAGTAACTATTCCAGTCCCATGGATAGTTTGGGCATGCTCCCTCAACTTCTCGAACGTGCTCTCTCAAACACGTCTGAGTCCGAACTTGCTCTGCCAGCGGCTCAAGGTTGGCCGCCGCTGGCTAAAGGCTTCGCGCGCTGCCTGGCACAACATTTTTCCCAAGACTGCAGTGGATTCAAGATGGCCAGCAATCCCAACCAACATTTTTTTTTTTACAGGAACTTCAGTTTGTGGCCGAACTTGAGATTTCTGGATGACAAAAAGGCCTGTAAGTGGTCACCTACAAACTCCAAAAAGGTTGGTAGCTAGCTTGTCTTACAAACTTTTGGTTTCACAAAAACTGAGTTTTGACGTGGCAAAAACAATTCGACCGTTCTCTATCTGTAGCAGGGCCTGTTCTCCACGCTGCCATGCTTACTTATAAAATCTACAGCTACGGGAACGACCAATTTAGTCCGGTTGGGGGTGTTTTAGAATGGCAGCATGACAGCATGACGTGTCAGATTCGTGTGAAATACGAGGAAACATGCGCAGGCACAGCGTTTTGTGAGATTCTCAGTTTTCTTGGCAGTCAGATTGGGATTGGCCTTTAGAGGGTGGTGTTTTTGGGGTGTTGTATGTGGCTGTGACATTGGGATTCGCGTTGCAGGCTGTTGCTTCGCAGCTGTGCTTTCGTGACAATCAGCTACAATGGTGATTTTGATGGATGTGGAACGTGTCGAAACCATTCCAAACGTGTGGTGTGGTGAATCTTTTTGCTGCAGACATGAAGATGTCATGTCGTCACTTCTTTTCGTGGCAGGCGCAGTACTTTGTGCGTGTTATGGTGTCGAAGTTGAATTTTCGTGGCAGGCGCGGGAATCGTGAGGTTGCGATGAATGGTGGAGGTGAATGTCGCTGTGACATTGGGATCGCGTCCATAGCCACCGAAGCAAAGGAAATACTCTCCCACGTCATCTTCAACTCTAGCATCACAATAGCCTGCGACGGCATCAATAAGCAAGGAGATAGCAGAGATGGTGGTGTCCAAGCTCTAGAACAAAAGGGCAATTGACAATGCCGCCCTGAAGTAGTCCGTTGCTGCAAACACCCCCTGACCAATCATAGTGTTGGCCCTCCTGCCACTGTAAGCAAGTAGGCCAAAAACTTCAACTGATGCTGGGGACGCCAGGACAGTCACGTTGATCAGGAAAACCAGCACTGTCTCCCTTGCAACCAGGTACCACCTGCACATCTCCGGGCGATGCATTGATTGCAGCAAGGAACTCTCTTTCTCCTTCTCCACTACCATTCAAAACGCCGATCCTCTACGTTTCTTGCTCCTCAGGTGTGTGTTGGACTGTAAGGTTGTGGAGCAAGTGGTAAAGATGTGGTAGTGCTCTTCTTGCGCTTCTTGCTGTGATGACGATGGTTCCCATGTTCGTAATGCTCTTCGTAGGACTTCTCGTGCTTCAAGGCATAAGTTCCAACGTTGAGCATATGCCAAGGGCGCTGTGCTCTGCCGCGCCCATGATCTCCGTCATACGCATAGTCCTCTCTGAAGTCAACTTCTCCAGAAAGTGTCTGGCAAGGATCTTCGGACATGTGGCTTTCAGGGGCTGGGATTGCAAAACTGCTTGTGACTTGTGGAGGGGGTCTCGTACGAAACTCTCGTTTTGCAGACTTGACGCATGAGTTTTGGAGGAGGTCTTGGACGAAACGCTCGTCTTGGAGACTTGACGAGTGACTTTTTGGAGACGTGACGGTTGACTTTTAGAGACTTCAGTAGTAGTACCCCCGCAAGACTGCCCCACAAGAGTGTCCAACCAAACTGGCATACAAGAGTGCAAGAGTGTTCCGCAAGAGAGTCCCACAAGAGCGTCATACAAGAGTGCCCCGCAAGAGTGTTCCGTAAGAGTCCCACACGAGAGTGTCCGACAAGAGTGCTCAGTGTCCGCCTAGAGTGCCCCTCTGAACTGGCAACTTGTAGTCAGTACATGTCAGTACAAATGTACTTCGGAAAGCAGCTTCTGGGAGCTGTAGAACTGGCAGCTTTGTAGTACACATGTAGTCCGGGATGTGGCCAGATTACATCAGAGTACGTGAGTGTCCCCCAAGAGTGTCCCACAAGAGCGTTCTGCAATGTTCTGCAAGAGTGTCTCCTACAAGAGTGTCAAACAATGTTTTTGGCGCATATTTTCCAGCACGTGTTTGCATTCGGGTTCGTGGATTCCATTTCTTTTCCTTAATGAAGTGTGAGCGTATACTAGTATACAGGTCAGGTGATATAGAAACACTACTCAATGAGAATCCAGGACAGGGTTTGGAACTGGGTCAGACCAGCGCATTAAAGTTGTTGTGATATTGATCCAACAATTTCTTCATGCCGATGATATGACATGCTTTTTGTGCCCATGAGGTCATATATGAAGCCCCTCTCCAACGGTGGTGTTCGGATGATTTAAGGGTCGATGTAGCAACTTATTCCATGGATTGATTGCTAAGGAGGTGCATGTATTCCATGGATGTAAGATGTAGTCATCCAAATGTTCCTAGAAGAGATTGAAGGAGAAGGGGGCTCGAGCCCACCAAATCTCCTAGAAACTTTCGCTCTGGTGCGGTGAGTGCCTTCAATGGTAAAATCTTCTACCCAAACGCCCTCAAAACCGTAGGGATTTGAGGGTCTGGACCCCTCCATATGAGGGTACGGCCCCTACTTCGGGTCAGCGTCTGGGTAATTCAATCAAATTCACGTGATGTCCTTCCTTTTCGGGGCGAGCCCCCTGGCGCCTTCGAACCAGGACCACCGACTCCCCCCATCGCCCCATCCGTCGGACCGACGCCGCGCCTCTCCAGTGAGCGTGGACGCGGCGCAGCGACGCCAAATGAGGCCCACGCGCCGGGTGCGCTCCTTCACGTCGATCCACCTGGGAGGAGGAGCGGAGACCGGGCAGCAAGGCCACGCCTTCTTCGAAGGCGGTGAAAGTCAGGGAATTGGTGGGTTGGTTGGACCCTTTTGTTGGGGTGATCGAAGGGTGGTAAAAGTGCTTATACCGTAGGCTCAGAGTCTCAAACTCCAACCGACTAAACGAGAGGTTTCAATCTGAGTCTCCAAAGCCACTGGTGACTCTGCATCACCCAGTCCAAACATAGGGCACGTATGGCGCACCGCGCGCATGCGGCTGTGGAGACGGCGCTTGTGCGCACTGTCTTGTGCGCACTGTCTAGAAGCGACGGCCTCCAACCTAATAGCGATGGCCTCCAACCTTGGAGGGTTGGCTGATCTTGGCTTGGCTTACGTATTTCAAGCACCCGTTGAAACCCAAGTGGATCTTCTGGCGCTGCGGCCAGAAGGCTAGCGATCCGTTGGAGGCTGGTTCAACAAGTCTTCTGGTGTTCCTCAACATGAAGTTGTCCAGTTGCCCAGCTTGGGCAGATCTATGACTGGATACTGGACCAATGCGAGGCAAAATGCCTTGAATGTTGTGGATCACGAAGATCGACGATCAAAGCTCTTGATGTACTTTTTTCCATGAACATGGGGTGGAGTTCAGCCTTTCTGAACAAAAAAGACAGGCTGTTCCCAGCCCAGGCTGTTGATCAAACTTACCACCGTTTCACCGGCCGGCCTTGTAGACCCAGACGCCTAGCCCCCGAAAAACTCTCCGCCGCCCGGGGGGGTAGTATAGGTGAAGGTAACCCCTATCATGGGACTTCGATCGATCCCGAGGCCCCCTGAGTTCAGATCATTGGTGTGGGGAGTACCCGAAACTTGGACCTCACCCGGACAAGCGCAAGCGCGCAAGCGCGCTTGCCCTCCCAGGTGGGCTATTCGGTTCATTTTCCGTGGTCAACTAGAGTACCCCGGTTTAGACCCGCATGTCAGGTTCATCCCGGTTTCGTCCGGACCTTAAGGGAGAGGCGGTCTGAACGCAGACCAGGACGCCTGAGGTGGTGATTTCTTGCATGTCACAGCTCAAATAGGAACATCATACTCACTTTTTACGGGGGGGTCGACACTAACAGCGGTGTCAAAGCCAAGTTGCAAAACATGTATAGTGGTTTCAGAGTAGAGGGCACAGACCCACACATGTCTTTTATATCAGGGTCCATAATAAACCGCCTTTTGGGGATTGTGCCAACTCTGAGACCACTGTATAGTCCGTAGTCCGTTATAATTTCTGTACGTCCTCTAGTTATCACTTCACTTGTTATTTGACCTGCTACCTCTATGTTGCCCGCAGCTACAACTCCAAAAGGGCGCGAACCTCGACCATTCCAACTCGGCGAGTTATGGGAAAACCGGCACGTCCCGTTGCTCTCGGGCATCCCTTTTGTCCGCCGGTCTGACCGAAGCGCCGTTCTACTCAGCGACGAGGAGACCCGATGAGTTGCATGCCTTTCATGAAAAGAAGACTCTCTCTTCCCAGACGCGATCCTCATGGAGCCTTGACAGAACGGACCCTTATAGTCTGGATATCATCGATAGGGTCTGGGGTTTCTCACCAATAAAGTCTAGCTTTTCAGGGATACGAATCGGGCTGCTTTCACGGCGAATGATTCCTATAATCGACTGCAGTGTGCTGGCGGGTCTCCTCCCTGGTCACCCAGTGTCTTTGCACCTCAACGAAGCAACTCGCCCGAGCTCCCTAACAGTAGCTCCGGCTGCAGGCTCCCCTCACGCATCGTGGAGTCCCTTTATTGCCTCCTGCCAACAGCCGGCACGACAGGACTGGGCGGACACGTTGTACAAGGCCAAGTTCTTGTGGAAGATCCGCACGGCTTCAGCATAGACCAAGCCATCCATCTCATCCTGTCTTTCACATCGGTCGGATTCCGAAGGCAAACAGGCCACTCACATTCCCAAATGCTCCATGTCTGCCTTTTGGCCGGTTTTATGGACAATTCTGCCTAGTGAGAAGATCCAGGTATATTGTACCCTTAGAATGTGGCCCGAACCTGTGGGCAGGGCTTGGTTCGGGGTCCAATCGCTGCGAAGAGGTCAGGCGCCCAAAGCCCGAGGGTCCAACGTGTGACTGTAGCCTCACGGGGGGGTCTAGGTATGGCCATATTCCTGACGCTTCGCGTCGACCGCCGCCCACACCTTCTTCTTTTTTCTCGGTCGCCAGCGTCAGTGCGTTCCAACTTCTTAATTCACATTATGTCGAAAAAAATTGCACATGACAGTATTTCTATGGCCATGTTGCGGCTGGGTTACGCACAAGTTCGCTCGTTTGGTGGCCATGTTAAAGCCAATTCAGGCTCCAAGTTCGACCGTTTTGTGGTCTTGCCCCCGCTTGGTTAGTCCACATTACATCATGTCAAGGCTAGCTTGATCGTTGGTGACCATGTGCTGAGGCTACGTTGTTTTTTTTTACAATAATGCTGGTTATGCGTTGCTGGTCAGGAGGTTTTTAAGCATCGTGGGTGTCCGTTTTTTTGGGTTGTTTGGGTTGTTGCAGAAATGTCGCAACGAAACCAGAAAATTAATCCAAAAATGTACCTCCAAAACGTTCTCCCCCATGGCCCTCGAGGCGTAAGACGTTTTTTCCCGAAAAAAAAAGCCCCCCCCCTAGCAGAGCTATGAACTGATGTGATGATGACGATGATTCCAGCTTGACCTGCCCCTAACACGCCCTGCACCGCAAGCGGTGTGGGCGGATTTCCCATGGAATGAGTGTTTGGGATTCATTGGCGAAAGCCTTTGAACGAACCCACGGCTTCTCTAAGAAGATGTCACACATGCAGTACAGCACAGCTGCAACTGTAGGTGCTTCTTTCAAACATGCGGTCTCCCCAACAATTTGCATAAATCGGGATGAACCATCTAAGCAAAGGGAACAAAAACACATCACCCAAAGGATCCACATACCTTCTGAGGTACGGTGATTGGAGACACTGAGACATGTAGGTGCCAGGAGGGTCCAGTCATACCGAACCTGAGAAGGTACGACAGGATCCCTATAACGGGTCAATTCGAAAGGCGCAGGCCCATCTCCTGAAAGCCTTCCAACACGGAGGTATCCTCAGCACTCTGCGCACTCTGCGCACCAAATTTCAACCAAAGGTTGCAGGGTTGCGCCACCAACCCGGATCAGCGGGGGAAAAAAGAAAACATGCACTCCAACTGACGGCCTGTCGGTGGATGGCCTGTCTCGGAAAGAAGGGATGTTCCGAAGCACACAGGTCCCACACGAACAATACGAACGCTGTAGACTTAGATAGTCTAACTATATGAACATTTGTGTGCCTTTTTCATCCATAAAACCCAGCCCATCTGAGCAAACATGTTGCATAGTTGGAGGATTCAGATATGAGGATGAGCTTGATCACTATACCAGGCGTTCTCAAGAACATGTTTTCGTTGTTCTTGAATGGAATGTACTAATAGTTTATGTTGCCATGTCAGGAAGTGGTGATGCTATTCACATATATTTCGTTGTGGGTAGGCACCGTTGATGGTCTCGAGGTAGTTCATTTACAAAACAATTTGAGTTGCCCACATGTATAATAGTCATCCCAAGAAACATCAAGAAACCTATCTGATTGATCAATATAGAGATCCCCAATGATATATCGAAACGATATCGAAACGGTGTCTATGCGCTTCGTTGAGTCTTTTTGGGGGGGACTCTTTGGACTGGGCGATACAAGCAGTTTTTGAGGGGGTATCACCATGTTATATTGGTATCAAGTCGTGTCACATGTTGACTGCAGTTGTCCCTCTCGTCTTGGGAGCTTCTAAGACCTCAAGTCCCAAACACGTGTCTCTCCCCCCTGATCTCCGAGCCCCGCTCGGCAGGGTTTGGTCCCACATCCACTTGCTATAGACACCTTTGCAGGAGGTCCTTAAGAGTCCAGACATAGCAGTAGAGAACGGCATTGGATGCCTGTTTCCATTCAGGCCGCATTCTCAAAATCCTGGCATGGAAGAGAATGTTCCATTCCTGGCATGGATATATAAACCCTAAACCCTAAACCCTATATATATATATATCAAGTCCCGTCTGTTGCATCCTGTGTCCCGTCTGTTTCCGGTCACCGGCCCGGTAAACAGAGTGCGTTCAAAGCTCATACTCTCCATCACTCTCTTTCTCGTGCTCTCCAGGACGAACGTTGCGGAACTCCGAGCTGTGGCAGGCCCCTCCGAACATGGCGTGGAACAAGCAAATGGAGAGGTCCCACTCCTCACGGAGACCGAAGAAAAGCACGTGGAAAGCACGGAAAAGATCCGGATCCGGGCTGATCCGGATCCGGGCTCCGTAGAGGGGTTTTGGCCGATGTTTTCTTCCTTTGAGCGAGGTGCATTTATGGTGCCATTTGTGCTGCCTTACCATGTTTGACATATATCCCACCAGTTCTTCGGCACAGGTGAGGGCCCTGGAGTGAGGGCCCTGGAGGTTGATTGCAGCGGTCATTGTAATCCCCTGACGCCACCGTAGGATGGCCCAAGCGAAAAAGCACACGAGATCAATACCAGGTCATTCGGCGCGTATTCACCCAAGAAGAGGAGAAGGCCCACGTGCCAGGAGCCACAAGACGGGGTGGTTTTGAATCCCTAAGTGAGTGAATAATGGGCACCCCTAATCTCCATTAAGCACCCCTTTGTGACTGCTGGTGGATGGAATTTCTTCCCAAAACACACCAAGACCATGGATTCACGCGTCGATCTCTTGACAAATCACTCTAGAGAACTTAGAGAATCATCATCTTTCATCTGCTAGATGCTAGGCTGGTAGGTCCGCTAAGCTTGCTGCCAGGGAAGTGAAGATGTGGCTGAAAACCCACACCAGAACCAGTTCTTGCTGTTCGATACGGCTTGCTTGAGATCCTTTATGTAGGAACTTGGGTCTGGGTTTCCAGGTGTTTCTGTCAAACCACCTGGCCACTCCAAAAGCAGTGGACCATCCAATCTCCTATGAAGCAG